TGCTTGATGTCTCTTTGTTACTTGGTAATATCTTTGTTTTGTAATATTCTATTTGCATCATTTTTACCTTTTCATTATTAAACTATATTTTGAAAAGTGCTAAAACTGTCTCCAAAGCCCTTATGCAGGTGGTGGCAGTTTAAAGAGTTAATTGTTTAGTTAACTTAACCCAGTGACAATTGCTCTCAGTCTGTTGGCACCTAGATTGTGGTCTTGCAAGCTGGATAATCTTTGAGCAGGGTAAGGCTGAGAGTGCCATTGTTCGGTAAGTGACAGCACAGAGTGAGGTTGACCAGTCTTTTGTCACAGGTTGGTGAAGAAGGGCAGGGGTCTGACACCACATTCGTCACATTGTTTTGAAATTCAGAGCTGGCCTATGTCCTCTGTACACTCCCTATGTTATCTCAAATAGCCCTCCTAGTTCTTATCTTGGACTACAGAATGATAACCCCTTATCAGGGAGTAGGAGTGATTGAGTAGTTTAACAAAGACAACTGGGCAGAGCTGTCACCACTTAATCCACAAAAATGCTGCAAGTTCATAACCCACAACTGGAATTTGTACATTTCTGGCAGATCAACAGGCACTTTTTGGAACATGCAGAGTCTTTAAAAAAAAGGATACCCATTATAGTAATGGGCCGGTAGAGAGGCTTAGAAATAGGGTGAACTGGACTCCCAACACATATTTTTATAGCTCCTGGGCATTCCAGCAATGCTTACAGTGAGGAGGAACCCAATGTTCAAACACCTGAGAGTGCCTACTCTTTGCTGCCAGTGCTGAAGGTAGATGATTTAACAGGTTTCAAATGAATACATTTTACTAATAATAATATGTATTGTAGATTTACTGCTCTTTTTAATGGTTTGACATATATTGGTGTGCATTTAAGTGTGTACTGTATACCAGAAAAGCATAACATACAGGACAGGAATAAGGACATGAAATAAATAAAAAATAGCCATGATCTTGCAGCAAACATGTTTTACTTAGAAATTACACCAACTTCCTTCTCTTATAAAATATACATGATCAAAAATACCATACTGTAGTCTATACATTAGTCAGTACATCCAAATCTGCTTGTATTTTACAGATTAGGTACATTTAAGAAAAAAATATATCAAAAGTGAAGTTCTAGTATCTTCATAAAACCAGCAGTTGTGTGCAACAATTCTGCCATTTAGCATAATTAAAAGAAAAAGAAATCACTGTTAGGTAAGCAATGATATTAATTTGGATAACAGATTTATACTGGTTTCCTGTTGTCACACAGGAATTTGCTCTTGTGCTGCTCTTTGATGACAGCTGACCTTTGCAGTGTCAGCATGGTGGACTAAGTGCAGCTATAGATGGGTGCCTGTCTCTGAACACAACAGACCTGTTATATTAACTGGCTTACCTCTACACTACTGCTGCATTCCTTGTAGTACTTGATGAAACCTATTCGTAGTAAGTCAGGCCTGTTCTGTTCCTGGATGTCCAGAGACACTAAAGAACAAAGGTGTTTACTCTGAGTCATATGTTGACCCAGCCAAGTGCTTTCTCCATGCCAAAAAACAAATGTTGACTGGTTCTGCTCTTGCTTTTATCTTTAACACATAGATGGGGATACTACTGTGCTTTTAGTGAGGTACACCAAAGAAAACCTTATATTTTCCCGGGTCACATTACAATGATAAATGTAAATTATTGGAACGCGTAAATATTACGAAAAGGAAAGTAATTAAAACTAAAAATAAGATGTAAATTGAGACTATGCAGAAAACAAAAATATGGTTCTAATGTATCTATAGTTCACATCTATAAGCATTAGTGTCTATAAAGGCATACTTTTTTAATTCATGCATTAAAGTGACAGTCCACTCAAAAACAATGTTTTAAATATAGATATAGCCTGGTGAGCAGGGTTGGCCCTTTTCATCTTAGATCTCTTGGATATCCCAATAGCAAGATCTCCCTGCCATGAATTCCAACTTTGTTCCTGTCCATCTAGAAGTTAAGGGTGTACCCACCCAGCTTTGATTGTACTTGCATTCCTAATAATGCCACAGATGTCCAGATCCAGGAACTAAAGCACAGATTTCTCACCAACAGAGTTCCCAAGGCATTTAAGACATTGTGAATTGTTTCAACTCTGTCAAATAAAACAACTGGTAAATCAATTTTGCGTGGACTGGCCCTTTAATTAGATACTTTTTTTATATAAAGTTTATTTTTATGTAGAAGTAAGGTTAATTGGTCATTCCAGCTAAAGGTCAAGTTCCTCACTTGCCAAGGAGAGTTCCAACTGTTCATGTTGCCTTCACCATAATGTGAAATACATTCAAAATCCAAGAGCGAGTGGCTGGTTTTCAGGCTTGGATATTCAAGAGCAAAGATTTTACTGCTAAACTGTCAGGAAGTTTAACAATTGCACACTTTAGGTGGAATGACCCTTTAACTGATCATAAGAAGTATCACATGCAAAGTCTTCAAAATACATACTAGTGTTAGCTTTACTATGCATTAGCTGTTAAGGGTTGCAGTCTTCCAGATTATTAACTGGAGATTAGCCATATGTTTGCCTTTAGTTTATGCTTACTATAGGTTTTCTTTAATATGGGTAAAAGACTAAAAATTAGACATCAATAATAAATACAGAAGACAAAATATCTTCCATTTTTCACAGCACTATTTTGATAAATATGAATTAAATCAAAGCTTTAGAAGTAGCAAGCTATGTGTCAGCTGGGCAAACCATGCAAGGTATATTTAGGGTCCTATTGTTTCTCACAAAGCTCACGTGGCCTTGTGTATGATAAGTTGTTTCTCAAGTAGGTTTCAAGCGTTAAATATCTTTATAACAAATCTTTGGCCGTGCCTTAAAAACCTCAGATTAATATAAATTTTAAAAGATGGAATGGGTTACTCTGGTCACAGATGGGAAATCTGTATTTGTAATACAAAAAATTTCAGGTCCTTGTATAATCTTAAATTGGAAAAGTAAAATATGATTATAGGGAAAGAGTCCTATCTAATACAATTTTCTACTGGATTAAGGATAGTTTAAAGGTATATAGTTTTTTTGAAGCTGAACTCAGAGAATTTTTTCTTTATATACTATGTATACCCTGTGCGGATGGCTTCTGCACAGTATAAAAATCATACCTTGCTGCAAGCTGACGTCTGTTGGAAAGTTAACTCAGCACTATTGCAAAAGCAGCACTTCCTGTTGGTGGATGACAACAGTAAATCACTGCCCTGAAATAGCAGCAGCATGTTGTGCAAGCTTCACTTGGCTTTTGGCCTGCCTATCTGTTAAACCTGATAAGCAGCCCAACTAAACAGCCAACTAAAGAAGAGTACAAGGCTGGCTGACAACACTGCTGCTAACTAAGAGAAGGCAACATAGCTTGCAAGGGGTTATTGGAACAATCTCCAGGTTGGAAACTTTGCAACACGAGTCACAAAAAATGATTCCCTTAAGAAAACTGTATTTAGTGACACATTATGTAAGTATAGTAGAAAATAAATTTAAAAATAAAACATAGGACGACTGTACCTTTGGCACCAATATAGAGGAAAAAAATAGGACCTGCCATCTGACCATCATATATATCTAAAAAAGTTCATCTAGAAATGAAGGACAACTGTATCTTTGGTACAAGCTGTCCTTTAAAATCTAAGTAAAGACAAAACATTTTTTTTTTTATTTTAGATAGAGTAAGAAAGGGTTTGACCTTTACTAGGTTTTTTTTGCCATCTGTGTCCCATTGTGAAGATTTCAAATCATTTCCTGTTCCAAAGCCAAAACAGAAAGTGGGAGGAAATCCCTCCACAGTGAGGGAGTTCTAGGACATCACCAGAACTAGTGTCCCCTTTGGATGATTTCACCTCTGTTACTGTTCTGATGTCAAGCCAGACTTTGGAATTTACTTTTACTTTCACTTGCGATGATAATGGTAATAAGGCCAAAGAGAGGGTAAATCTCACTAGCAGGGCCATAAGTAGAAATAAAGTGGTTCCAATCCCTCTCCACTCTTTTCTATTAGTTACACTGTAATGCATGCAACCTACCTGGTCTGATTCCCACTTGTGATCTTCACTGTCACAGCCTTGCTTCTGGAAATGTCCTTGCCATGTCCTCCTCAGCTTATGAATGTGCTTTATGGCGCCATTTATTTCCATGTAGAAAGCTGTACTCTGCAAGACCAATGGAAGCTGCACAAGTATACCTCCACATAGGAATAGATGGGGCTGAGGCATGCTGAAGGGTGAAATGAAGCTGGCGGTGAAGCACACGGTTGAGCTGCACAATGAAGATCACAGGATTGAGGGAGAAGGTGAGTGTTGGACCAGGTGGATTGTCTCTGAAGGGCAGAGGGCTGCATTCATCAAATGTCAGGTTGTACAAAGGAACAGTTGTTCTTTAAGGCTTCCTGAACTCCTTTACATCTATAACATAGCCAGCATTCCTTTGTATCTGTGCCATTCATGGGTAAATATAACAACTGACAGTAACTAAAATATACCAGAACTATTACATTTCATGTATTAGTAATTCAGAAAGCTTTTTCTTCAAACGAAAGGAACAAGTAATAATAATCATATCTGAGGCTGATGCATAGTTTTTTTTTAAACCGTTTCCTGATATATTACATCATGTATTTTCACCACTGGCCCTGAAGGACAATCTAGTAATAAAACATATTGCATATTACAACTTTCTTCTATAAAATCTTTCCATGTGAAAAGTCCTAGAACCTCTCCTGCCAAATTAAAATGGCATTCTTAGTATCCCAGCATAAGCAGTACGCATGAAGTTAAATGTTAAGAAACAGGTACAAAGAATAGTCAAACTTTAGAGTTTCTCTTATGTGCTTCTAATTTTAGGAGTCAAGTGGTAGCAATCTCTGGTCATGACAAGTACTGGAGTAAGGGAATCCATTAAACATAGGCTTCCAGTACTATATACAGGGCACTATTATAACCATGCAGTCTGCACTTCATGCAGTGGGTTATGATCTGTAGTCCTTTTTGCTGTATGGCTTGTTTCCCAAAATGTTGTCAACTTCATTCACGATATGTGATGTCATCTTTGGAAGGACCTAAGGACAATGAAACAAAGAAATGCAGTAACATTTAATGATATACCACGCAGGTACCATTAACTTGGAACTTCACTCTCTCAATCAACATTGTTTTTTTTTGTTTATCTTTATGCTGCTAGCATTAGTAAGCAGATAGGAAAGTATATCATGTTTACTTGTTTTAACTTTTTTTTTTTTACATTTCTTCATTTACTTCCTGGTTACTGGCCTAGGTAAATTACAGGTATGTCATACATCCCAGGAGAGTTCAGGAGGGTGGAAGTGTTTCCTCAGCTAAAAACACACCTTCCCACTTGCATGCCTGAGCTAAGGGCAAATGGTTTCCAGGAAGTAAATGCTACATGAATCATCTGCCCTTACTTAAGATGGCCATGTACCAAAATGCTGGGGGTGTTTTTCAAAGTGATTTCTTAACAAAATAAAGCATGGAAACATGGATGGATGGGGGAGTTTCCTTTGAATATTAAAATTGAATTAAATAGTGTTTTCAGTTCGTGGTGCTCAGTGTAGTTCCGCTTTAATAAGATGACACACTATGAGTACTGTAGAATACGTTGGATGAATTGAAGTATAACTAAAGAAAAAAAAACATTTGTTTTGTTTTCATTTCTGTACAGTTTTTATTGCTGGTGTGCAGGGAGAAAAGCGTCAGACACGTTATACAAAACCAACATATTTCGGGGGCTGATGGCTTTAAATGAAAGAGTCATTTAAAAAAAAAACAACTTCTAGACTTTATATAATATTTTCTTTTATGCCAATTGGAAGACAGAAGGTGGAACTGCTGTACACTGGAATCCATCCACTATATCTCTATGATTATGCCCCATGGGTGGGGCAAAATACGTCAGAAGGGAATAGTCAGGAGGAGCTTATGCTGAAGACATATCTTCACCTTTCTGTATAGTGGCTGGGCTCTGGTGTGCACTTCTACCTTCTGTTTTCCAATTTGCTTCTGCTAGCCTAGGTGAGCTTGTTCGAAAGCCAGCACCAAATCTGTGCTTTGGACTGCAGAGGGAGGCTTGGTGGTGGTTTGAGCTATGCTCCAAGTTCTTTGTATATAGGTCACATTCTTTTCTGCCACTGGATGTCCTTGGTCCTCAGGGTTAAATAGCAGCTCAGTTCCTTTGAGCCCAGGCTGTTAGGGACCCACTTCCAGTCCGTGATTGGACAGTTAAAAGAGAAGCAGCACAGTGATGAGATTGTCTCTCTGTCACTCTGTTTCCTTTGCCCATCAGCATGTGCCTTGTAAGCACATGCTTCTTTCTATCCCAGCCTGAGCCCCGTACAGTGGATTGTAAGAGGATGATAACAGGTCAAATTTGGGTATTTACACTAGGGGCATTTAAAAAATAAATACATGTAATGATGTATTAATGAATACTAAGCAGTATTAATTTGTATCTTTTTATCTGCCAAGAGACATCCACTTTGTTACCCAATTTGCAGAGCAAAATCCTGTATGGATCACACTCCTAACCACTATAAGACTTCCATAATGTAAAACAATACAACTGGTGTCACCACCATGGCTTTATGGGAAGTAGGCATACCACTCACTATAAATCTGCACTGTATGGTGCAGATAAGAACTTTGTATTCGTAGGCAAATCAGAAGATGATTGATCTTCTATAATGCTTCATTTCTCTTAATTCTGATCCAACACTTTGGTTTTAATATGGTACCAGAACATAAAATTATTATTATTATTATTATACAGGATTTATATAGCACCAACAGTTTGCTCAGTGCTTTACAATATAAATGTTTATTGGTTTTTAATAGACCAGCAAGCATATGCTGTATTTCATAGATTAATTTGTTGATGCTACGCATGCTTGGAAAAGTAATTAAAAAACTGTTATTGTTGATTTTATTGATACTGAATAGGACTGATCAGGGGCGGACTGACCATTTGGAAACTCGGGCACTGCCCGAGGGCCTGGGGCCAGTAGGGGGCCCCATGAGATGCCCCTGGTACCTTTTTCATAGGCTTTTTTGAGTTTGTGCAAGGACACAGGGGTTCCATGATCCCCTATTGCCCGGGGGCCCCATGAGTTGTCAGTCCGCCCCTAGGACTGATGTATCTGACATGTATTTCAATGATGATTTCAAAACACAAAAAGAAAATGATGTAGAAAACAAATCATATCTTTAATCGATGAAAGTCTTGTATTTAAGGACTTTGTCCAGATTATGTGTGACAAAGCACAGTCTGCCACTGTAAAAATGAAACAAGGACAGCCATTTTTTTCAGTAAAAGAGTATGTGACAGTTCAGAACAGGCAGCCCAGAACAGCAATCCGATTGGGAACAGATGGGTTTGGTCAACAAAAGGGAGAGTCCAGAGTTCGTAGGGCTCCTGTGGAGGTAACTGCTGCTGGGGTGCTTATCCAAGTCTATCTGGCCCTAACAGATGGGTACCCCTAACCAAACCAACATCTGGCATAAATCTGGCATAAAGTGGGCCATTATCTAGTCAGTAAGACTGACTGAACAAGCTGAGAGCCTGTATGGGTGGCCAAATAAGCTGGAGGCTGAAAATTGCTTTGTAGCTGAAACAAGCCCGTAAACCTTAATATTTTCTGCTTTAGCCATCAATAAACATAGGCATGAAGCTTACACTTGCAGGGGTAGGGCAGTGAAAACAGATGTGCTTTAAGCTGCAAAGGCAGCTGGACGAGTGGTCCATGTGCCGAAAGTGTTGCAAAAATTATCCCCTTGACCTCAGTACTGTCTGCCAAATGTGATCTATTCAAGTGAAAAAAGCAAAGAAGCAGCACACATACCCGAAATGTGGTTGTGGGACAACAATTACCTGGTTAACACCTTCCCGCCCGGTCTATAGCAGATGGACAGCTGGGTGGGACACTCCTCCTTCTGAGTGGGCATTATATGATGGCATATCAGAAGGTGATGTTCACGCAGCCGCGGGGCCGTGCAGCAGTGCGATCTGTCACCGGCTGTGTTTACGGGACACAGCCGATGACAGATCACTACACCGACCCATTGCCAGTGTCATGTGACCATTGTGACCAATCACAGCAGATCACATGACAATTGTATATAATGGATGGCTTCCTTTCATGCCAATTGGTCAAAGCAGTCACATGGTACAGGCAGGACCATTCACAACCCATCTGTATCCTGTGATGAGATTTTTCCCATTCACAGCTAATCACAACAAAAGACTGAATGAATCAGTTTCATTTAGTAACAATGGTTGCAAATGTCAATGAAATACATTGGTATTAGCAAACACAATGTGTAAAAAAAAAAAAAAAATCCTGATCACTTGCCCAGAGTAGTTCAATGTTACTATGGTAACATTGCATTGCTCTAGTCGCAGTGTGTTGAAATAATTGTTAAAAAAGAAAAAAAAAAATAATAAATAAAGAAAAAATTGAAAAACATAAAAATGTAATTATTGTTATTAGTTTTTTTACATACTGTCACCAGTGTCCCTGTTCACCACCACACCAGTTATATAATAACACTGGACTGATGACCATATGTAGAAAAAAAAAAACAAATTGTGAATTTTTTTTTAATTTCTTCATTTTCCTAAATATTTTAACAAAAATGTATAACTTTGAAAAAACTCGCCATGCCTCTTACTAAATATCTTGGACTGTATATTTTCCAAAAATGGGTCATTTAGGGGGTATTTGTACTATCCTGGCCTTTTCAGGCCTCAAGAAATGAGATTGGCCGTCAGTACATTGATTGATTGTCAAATATATATACTCCTACAGACTAAAAAACTAATTTGGGGTATTTTGACCAAAGAAATGTAACAGAATACATCTCACCTAAAATTTATGAAGAAAGGTTATTTATTTGCAAAATTGTATAACAGAACCAAAGAAAAATGCAGTTTTTTTTGCAAAAGTTTATTTAACAAAAAATAAAACACTTAGCGGTGAATCAATACCACCAAAAGAAAGTTCTATTTGTGTGAAATAAATGATACATTTTTTTTTATCTGTGTTAGTTATTGTGTGAAATAAATGATTAAAATTTTTTTTATCTGTGTTAGTTTTTTTTTTATTAGTGCTGCATGACTGCACAATTGTCATTCAAAGTGTGACAACACTGAAAGCCGAAAACTGGCCTAGGCAGGATGGGAAGTTCCCGGTATTGTAGTGGTTAAAACAGCTGGTGAGGAGGTAACATAGTGCCTTCTCATTGTCTCTTAAACGCCTCTCAAAGCAATCCACTACGGATTGCTTTTCAGGGGGGAAGGAAGGGCTGCAGCACATCTAAATTTAGCCTAAAATATCCCTACAATTTTCTGCCTGGCCCTTTAATTTTTAATTATAATGTTGGGCAGGAGGGAGCTGACAGGACCGCCCATAAAGTTTTGATCGGTTCATCAGGAACCTGCTAAAACTCACACACACTACTGTATGGCCAGCTTAGGACTTAGAGATGCTCTCTATTTGATGCTGATCCCTAACCACTTCCCGCCCATAGGAGATCATATGACATCCTGGACTTTGAGTGGAGATACCAGGATGGTGCCTTCAGCCAATGATGCTCTGTAATGTAATTAGCCGCTGGATTGCTTTTACAAGTGGCGGGAGGGGTGCCCCTTCCTCCCTGAGGCTCTCCGGTGCCTTCCCACGCTACCCATCCCATTGTGGAACCCACAGCCTGAAGCCATACTTCTGCCGGCTTACCACAGAGCTGAACGGGGACTGAAATGCCCCTGATCATCTCTATGGTATAAGAAACCAAATGAAATGAGTATTTTGTGACTTATGCTTTCGCTGGATGTAATCAAAACCATTTTTGGTTTTCAAAATCATCTGATCCCGCCAATCTTGGTGGGATCATATGCTTTTAAAGGCATAGGACAAATCTGGAGTCTAATAGACCCCAGATCTCTCAATAAAGAGTACCTGTCACTGGTCATTGCTATCTGAAGGGATGTTTACATTCTTTGTGATAGCAAGAAAAGTTGTAAAAAAATTTAAAGGGACAGTGTAAAAAT